TCACAAATTATTAAAAAATTAATAATATTAAAATTATTGTAACAGTTTTATCATTCTTTAACGAATTGTACAAATATTTTTTATGCGTCTAGTTCTGCACATTTGTCTGTTTTTATTGATAATTTTGTAAATGTTNTTTCACAAATTATTAAAAAATTAATAATATTAAAATTATTGTAACAGTTTTATCATTCTTTAACGAATTGTACAAATATTTTTTATGCGTCTAGTTCTGCACATTTGTCTGTTTTTATTGATAATTTTGTAAATGTTGGCGGAAATAAAATTTGATTTACAGTAAATTTATTCTAGAAATATCTAAGAATATTTGTTAAGCATTCTTTCCCCGTTAAATTTAATATCGATATAGATATACCAAGTTTTATTTCAGATTCGTTACATTATACGAATATTTTACACATCGACTGTACTTGTTGAATAAAGATGTTTTATCCTTCAAAGGATACATAGCCATTGTTTTCTACTTGATGGAGGTACTCATACAAAAGCCTACAAATTCGTGGCGCACTGTCTTTCGTGGCAGGATCGGATATAAGTTCGTCCAATTTCGTCAAAGTATGATCCACATCAACTTCCGATTTTTTCATAAAATCGAATAGTTTTGCGGGTATTTCATCGGTCTCAGGACACTCGCGATTAACATGTTTCGGACACCTGAATGCCTTCCAAACATCGCTCACATCCAATTTATCGGGAACCACGACCTCGGTTTCTTTTTTATCAATATCCATGTTGGACATCACTTTTTATATAATATTTTTAAACATTCACAAATGCTTGAAAAATGCGTGTTAACGTGTATACTGTTTCGTCCAACGTCAGATTCGGTAAACAATGGAATAACAAATAATGGAATATTGCAAACAGTTTCAAAGTAGCGATCAAATTACAAAGAAAATTCTTACCTTTGTTTCGTCGAACGTGTCATACATAATTCACAAGAAAAAGAATCGATTAGAATCACCGCGACAGTTTAACCTTACTAAAATCGTATTAAAATGTGCTGGACAAAGTTTGAATAAAATTGTCTGCCAACTTGGTGGTGCCACCTGCGGCAAAATTCAAAAGTTGTATTGCAGATGGCGCTGATACCGAAAGTAGCGCCGACTCAATCTCTTACCTTCCTAATTCAAAGTTTTCCCGTCGGAAACACTTTTCATACTGAATCTTACAATAAGAATATCCGAAAAGCTTTCGATCGAATCAAGCGGATACCACGCCGTTTGCACACGATACGGCAAAGAACACAGATCGCCAAAAAGTCGGCCGCTATTGGATTCTCACATACAGACGGAATACCGTAGATGTGTGTGTAGTTCTTGCACGTGCAGGAGAGAGTTTGCAACAGTCGCCGACGCTGCCGATGGTAGCAAGCTGGGTACCTGTGTTCCCCAATTTACTCCGGTTTTTAACCGTATGCTCTGACTGAATATTGTTTTTAATGAACGCTGTTCTTAAAGACGTACTTCTTATTTATCAGTAATACCTTATCGCAAATGGGAGACCATCGTCGTTAGTATCGCGGAAAGTGTTCAGTGTTCGCATACAACCGAAAGTGTTCCTGTAATGATCGTCACACGATAACGTGTGAAAGAAGACAATCATGTGTAGCAATCAATATTGGAATTGTCGGCAGTGCAGCGTGTTTAACGGTAATTATTACGAAGGGCTTTCGTACACGGTGCGTAGAATTCGTGCTCGATTTCGAAATAATTCCATAGCTACAGTGAGTTGCATCTACAATCGGAGACTGCGTATAAAATATATTCCTTGTGATGAAAATATAAATTATAATCACATCTTGCATTGATTTTATTTAAACAACAATTCGGTTTAAAAGGTATCTCAGAGTTAATCGTGGCTAACTGAGATATGGTTTTAAGCTTGATTCAATGTTAATTCCTATATGCTATCCTCTCGACTATTTTCCATAACATATAATCGTCTTTCCATAGATCTCGTCAGTTTTTTTTGTTAGACTCGATTTTTCTCCAGTTTTCGACCGAGGCATTTTCAGAATAATTTATATACATATTATTATATAATTATAATAATAATTATATATATTATAATATATAATTATAATAATATATACATTATATAATTTATATATATTTATTTGAAATTGCGTGCAAGTACTTCCGATTCGTTTCAATTCTGTTGAGACGATTAAAAAAAACTTATAAATTTCTAATTTTTCGTTACCCATCTTTTTAGGCAGATTGACTTGAACATATTCTAAATTTTCCACACCGGGATCCGATGCACTCTCCTCACTTTGGACGAGACGCCATGAATTACCGGATGAGATGGCAGTTTTGCAATATTTATTTATTTATTCAAGTAACCAAGCCCGAGAGATCCAGAGAACGAAAACGTTTAAAAGAATATTGATTACTGATTTCATTAGAGTATTATTTCTGCGTTTATTTAGCGTTCCTACAATGCGCCCGACCGTTGTTCGCAGATATCGTGGATCAAGGGTAAACAAATTACGCAGCCGATCCGTAAACAGCATAAGTAGACCATTTCGAAATTCATCAAGATCCCCGGATCGAGGTGATGGTGGGGGATCGATGCGTGAGCCGTGGATCGTTTTCCGAAGCGTAAGATCGGTGGTCGTTCAATCGTCGCTGGAGAAGTCAATGTCGGGATACACACGGTCGCAGGTAGTCGCCCTCTACTACGCTGGCACGTAAGACTGGTTCGTGCGTGCATGGACTGGTTCGTAGTAGTCGGGACGCTGCCGAGAGCAGCTGAACTGTGCGTGTGCACGTCGTTCACGGTTTTGTGCGGTGTTCGTATGTGGGCTGTGCGACAACGAAGAAGCGTCTTACGAAACAACGAATTCGTGAGGAACTAGTGCCCCGTTCCGGCGCCGAAAGGGATTCCACGGATTAGAAACGAGAGGCTGGGCGTGACGCGAGATGTGACAAATCTCGGAGGCGGCGACCTTGGCGGGACGGTGAGTGACCCTTTCGAATAATGGCACATTCTCGTCGCCACGATTGTTTTTTTCTTTTACGGCGCGCGGCACCCGGCGTTTTCTCACGGGAAACAACGCGTTGTTTAATTACTGTGTGCCGTGCAAACCAGTACTCGCTACAATTATTTTACTACGGGTTTTTGCCTCTATCCCCGTGTCTTCCGACCCACCGGGAAACCACTGCTTTTTCTTACCCTTTTTTTCTCTCCCGTAGCCTGCCATCCTTCGGCAGATCGCGAGCGATTCGCTACCCCGTTGTGGGAACGCAGCGAACGCGCTGTGCCGATGCGACGTGGTGACCTCTGCGAGAACACCAGGTCGCGATAAGACATTTGAAGCTTCCTCGCGGCAGTTGAAAGCAACCACCGGAATCTCAGAATTTTTATACCGTGGACAGACGGCGGCGTTCCTCCTTTTACATCTGTCTTTCTACAGATGAATTTGCAGATGATCCGCGGCGTTTTTAACGCGTCTATTGGAAATGTTCTTTTAACCCTCAAACTACACACACAATAGATATATAATGTAATAGATATAATAATAATATAATAATATAATAGATATAATAATAATATATAATATAATAGATATAATATATTATCTATTATATTATTATTATATCTATTATATTATATCTATTGTGTGTGTAGTTCGAGGGTTAATAATAAAAATAATAATATATAATATAATAGATATAATATATTATCTATTATATTATTATATTATTATTATATCTATTAATATGTATATAATATTTGTTATAGGCGCATATTTTGTTGACAATGACTTTCAATTTTTCTGCGAGAATTGACGGCGAGTTTTAGAGTCATGAAATAATTCCAAACACGCTTACAATGACAGCATTAACCACGCGACTGTGTCGAGAACCCTTTTCACTGATATTAAAACAGCCTCCGACTTTCAATTTCTCATTTAACATTGATCATGGAGTAGACGAAATATACGTTTCCGCTAGACAATTTCGAGAATTTCCACACGCAAATGACCGGGTCAAAGGAAGTCCCTAATCACGCCGGACGACGACAGGCGACTGCGAGAAGCTGCGTGTATGCATTTTCCTCTTCGGTTTATCTGCCAGGACATTCCTGACATTTTGCGCGACCCGGTAATATTTCATTCGGCGAACAATATTTTTTGGCGTTCTCGCGTTTCCGCAGCGAGATAATTTATGAACGTGCTTCATCGGTTCGTCGACGTTAGAAGAATTCATTGCGCTCTGTACAGCTTCGCTGAAAAAGAAATGGTAGATTTGATCGAGCCGCTGATTAAATCCCTGTCCGCATTCACGCCGCATTCACGATTCCCGCTGGTGAATTATGGATTTTCGCGTTTCGTTTACAACCGACGTAATTCTGTCAAAGTAATCCTTCTGGGAAAAAACGTTACAATTAAGTATTTCCGTGGTTACAACCCTTGACAACGATGCCAAATTTTATAATATATAATAAGTCTATAATATCATAATATAATTAATATATTAATATATTATATACATAATATCTTTTATATTATTATAATATATAATAAGTCTGTTATACTAGACCAGCGTCGCCAACGATAAAATAAAATAAAATTTCCTTCATTTTCAATCGTAGTTTCAACCCTTAAACACTATCGTTGGCGACGCTACTATAATATCTCCAATTTATTTCCTTTTATATTGCGGGGATTTGTGCAGATCCAATATAAATTTAGTATATTGGAGATATTATAGTAGCGTCGCCAACGATAGTGTTTAAGGGTTGAAACTACGGTTGAAAATGAAGCAAATTTTATAATTTCCTTTTATATTGCGGGGGTTTGTGCAGATCCAATTTGATACATAATCTAAATTAATATAGCCCCGATAGACTAAAGTCAATGAAACACGTAATTGGGTACATGTGGGAACAGTTATAAATATCGTTAAATAATATTGTTACTTTCCTTCGCATATTATTATTTAAGCTCATTGACAGCTAAACGTGTGTTTCTTAACTTGCCATAAAAATTCATGCGACAGAGGATTAATTTAGCAAAGAATTCTCGAAAGCTAGCATTACTCGAAAGAATTGTTTACGCATTGCTATGTACAAAATGGGCGCCATCTTGTATGCTATCGATCTCCAAGACACCACGTAATCTTCCAACGAATCTGACGATCGTTCTCATGGGTTTAAAACATTCCTCGTGGCCCCCAAGCCTGCAGAGGGTTAAATATAAAGGGTCAAATCGTTGACTGTACAATAAAGGGATGTGTTGCTATGGTTATTATTTTTGTGGCATCGTCTTTCGGTACGGTTCCTCGATACATCGAAGATCAGGAAGTTTACGATCAGGAAGGAGTGTAACACGATGCGGAAGACCCGCCCGATGCGAATAAGAAGCCCGAAGAGTGGCGCTAGAAAAATTTAGATAGGAGACGAGGCGTCGAGGGGTGTTCGCCGCGCACCCGGTAGTTTCCCTCGGCCGGCGAATCAATATTTGGAGGGTAAGCGTCCCGACGACTGTCGGCGTCGAAGCTGCGGAACGTGAGTCACTCACCCCTGATTGCGAGGGCGAACATTGAGGCGAGGTAGAGAAGGATGACTTTTCTCGAACGCGCACCCTCATCTCTCCGAGAGCATCGTGCCCTCGCGTCGGTCTGCTCCAGTGTTCGGCATCGTTGGAACAACTCTGTATCTAGATAATTATTCGAATGAATAAACAATTGGATAATTTTAATAGCGGATAATTTCTTTTTGCGGATATTTTTGAATTCACGAATAATTCATTCGCGTGATAAAATGTTATTTGTCTTTGCGAATAAAAAACGATGTGGATTGTAATGGACACGTACAATGTTTTTTCGCGATGTAAATTTATCTATACTATCAAGTTCCAATGAATAATTTTAAAAAACGTTGGATTATTATTTGTTATATTACTGCTGTTAGTTGTATTCTTTTGTAACATTACAAGTATGAGAATAATTGAAGGTGACAAAGTTAGATGGGACACCCGATGTATGAATGTACATTGTAAAATTAATATATAATAAACATCACATAATAAATACACAATATAAATTATGGAATTAATATACAATAAATATACAGTATAAATTATACGATGAATATGCAACAAAAATTATACAATGAATGTACAATATAAATTATATATTATAATATCCAATATATGAATGTACATTATACAATCCATATATATATACACAATACAGCAGAACCTCGATTATCCGAACTAAGTCAGAGAAGCACGGGTGTTCGAATAAGAAAACTGATTCTATTAAACCAACGTATATTAAATTTTTACCCCGATTTGTACGATAAATAAAGTTTTATCTGAATCTCTTCAAATTAATATATTCACATATACAGCGTGCTCTCGGATAATAAAAATGAAAATCGGATATAGGCGGTTCGAATAGTCGAGGTTCTACTGTGACTATACGTTGTGCGAATATCAATCTTCAATTTCCATATGAAATACAGAAATGACTTTCTAAACAACTTTTACCGTTCGGGCTATCATCATTATTTTGATAGATCGAGATTGTTTTCATGGAATCAGTTTTGCGCTGCAGTGGAATTCTTGGAGTTAGCATATGTAAATACGAGCTTCGTCAACAACTGAGGTCGATATCCGCAACCGGAAGTGAACTACAAACCACACAGAGTAATTTTTAATATTTTGTGATTTTCGTACTCTGTAAGCCGTTATCGCGAAATTTCAAGAATAATATTATCTCTGTACTGAGCTAATACGACAAGCAGCGAAACTCAGAGGATCGGCTCGAGTTCGTATAGTATAAAGGGATACAAATTCATGTTCAGTAATTGTCGCCTTATCTTTATAACTGTAGCATTAATGGATAGCTGAGATCCTTCTGATTACAATGAACTCAAACACGACGTAAATCGGACTAAGTTTATCGATTTTTATTATACAGAGTGAGTCGCGTAACTTGCACACCTACAGTAATATTTAACTTATGCTGCTGTGAAAAATTGTTAAATAGACTGTTTCACAGTTGAGTAGAGACTATTTTATATGTAGAAAGGTTTCAAAGTTTTCAAGATCAATTGATTTCAAGTTACTGGAGATGCGCAAGTTGCGTGACTCACCCTGTATATGAATAAGTTCTTCGATAAATATAGTCCGATTTCTGTCGTGTTTGGACTCATTTTAATCGGAAGAATCTCAGCTGTTCATTGGCGCTAGAATTATAAAAGTACGACGGAAAGTATCGACACGTTAGAAAAGTACATTGCTATCTTCTCGTCAATTTATTAAAATTATTAAAAGAAAAAATACATTTTTACTTTATTTCTTGTTTCCTACAATTGGCTTAGACAATTTCTATTTTACATAAAGATCCACCATCTACTAATTATCGTAGATGGTGAAAGATTAAATTTCTTCTTCAAGCAATAAAAAGGTCCGTTGCTTTTTACAAGACCCCGATAAGTTACGTGATAATTCCAAAAATTTGACAAGGACCGAAAATTTCGGAATGCATTAAACAAACAATTGCGGCGTTGTTTTTAAGTAACCGAGGTAGAATGATTAAAATTGATTATTGGCCAACTAAATCGACCGGCTAGACCACAGTGGCGCCGTCTCGCCGAGCGGACAAGTTAATTAACGAAACGAAAATCCGAAAGGCCCGTTCGGAAATCAACGGGAGGGTACATCGACTCCGGGGATTAAGAGGTGAGGACGCGTTATCGCGAGGACCCGGGATTTCCTGGCAGGTTTTTAATTAAGATACTCACGAAATTTTGCGGATTCCGCTGGCGCAGTCGTAAGAACGGGAACGTTAATTTGCAGGCTTTAAAAGACGGCCGCGTGCGCGCGTACGAGCGTGAAATGTATGCGCCTAAGTAAGCAAACCCGTCCCAGCTCGCGCAGCGCTGTGGGAACAGGTTTCAGAAAATTGACCGTTCCGCCGCACCGTAGTAGGACCTTTATCTGCTTCT